TCGCTTTCATGAACGTGGGGTAGACTACCGTGGCCAGGTCTTGTGACCAGCCAGGTGTCAGCCATTGAGATGGCTCGGGCCATTGGCCTTCCACCCAGATCTCATGAAAACCTTCTCTCTTTCGGAAATATAGATGAGGAAACATCTCCATTCGAAGTGAGGTCCAGCAATAGCGAGGCCTAGAATTAGGTACTTGTTCACTAGGGTCAACCTTATATGGCTCGACTCCAAGCAATTCGCTGATCTGGTTCCTTGCCGCGTGATCCATGCTTGAGACATTTTCAACAAAGAAATGACACGGCAAGCCTGAAATACAGCATGAGCCTCTCGGATCAGCCCACTGGATTTTCCCTCTAGGTTCATCCGGTTGGCTCGAACACTGCTCAAGTCAACACAGGGGAAACCTGCCCAGGCATGGATCTCCTCAAAATCCTCCACGTGCTCTAGTAGCTCCCGCAGTTTCTCTTTGGTAAGAGTCCTAACATCTTCCCAAAAAATAGTGTCTGGCCATCTGCGAGCAGTGGTTCGATTGCTGGGTTTGTGGATATCACAGGCTAAGAAGGCGCGGACTTTGACTCCAGCCACGTCATAGCATCTGGCGGCACCTCCAATGCCGTTAAACAAGGAAATCACGACAATTGGAACCTCCATTGGCATATTTGTCCGTTCTTGAGTCTCCAGGAAACCCTTTCCATCTACTGTAAGAGATCTGGCAATTGCGACCGCTCCTCCCGTTTGGCTGGCATCACTGCAAGTAGTGACCTCATCAATCCTAGCCCCTAGCCAGGTGTGAAACAAAGGAGCGCCCAATATCGCAAACAGCACCTCTGACCGCACTTTAAGTACCTGAGCCTGAGAGCTACCTTTAGAGCTAATGTAGTTCCATACTTCATCAAACTGACACATGCCTGGCCGCCTGAACTGCAAAGCGAAGCACCATCGGCCCATCATGATCTGTAACTTCTTCTTCGAGAGGTGCGGTTGCTCTAACAACCACAAAGAACTCTTAATGATTTTTACCAGCCTTTCGCAGCTGGCGCCTATCCACTGTCCTGCTCCGCCTATGAATGCGCCCAATTCAACACCACTCTCGGCGGCCACCACGGACTTCCCAGGGGAGACTACAATGCCTGCTTCACTCCAGAGAAGTTCAGCATGCTTTTGTAACCTAATCAGCTCCTCACAGTCGCCGTCAGTTACCTTAGCTCCCCCAGCAAAGTTGTCCAGGTACACGTGCCACCAGGGTTTACCACAAAGAGAACCTTCAGCTTTGCTATTGACAATCCAGCTAGGCAATACCGCAGTTTTGTGGATCTGGGACTCTGCACTCAGGCCCCCCGAAAGCAGGACAGCTTCAACAATTTCTTGCATAATTCCCACTGCTGAGCTCCAGCCCATGGGGAGCACACAACAAGACAAGTACCACAAGTCTTCCTGAGCGTCAAGGGCCTCCAAACCTAACGTAGCAGAGTCAAACCCTAGATTGAAGCACAACAGGCGGCTCCATTCCAACGGCATCTCAAACAAGTAGAAAGCACATGCCATGTCAGACTGGGCGATACGCACGGTCTCATTGTCGTCCAGCACCACATTGAGCCACTGTGCAATATTTGGAAGTTTAGCCACTCTGCCCGGAATGACACGGAGCACGGAATTCACCGGGACCAGGTTCATGATCACTCGAAGAACCGTCTCCCCTTTTGCAGTTAGCTTAGATTTAGCTACTCCAAACATTCCGTTCAGGATGCGCTCGCCACGATACACCGCAACTTGTGACGCATGAGTCCAACGGCAAATTCCTCGCCGCACCAGCTCCTGAGCCACCTCCAGTCGCTCTTCAGCGACAATGTGCACCTTGCTCTGAAGTTTTGGTAGGGGTTGGCCTACGTCGGGATTGAGACAGCCAAAAGGATCCAACAGCAGCTCCCGGGTCCTTCCCCCTACCCATTCAACTGTTGACACGGAAGCACCATGCCCCTCTGGCGGGAGTCCTGGTTGAATTCTACTTAGGCTCAGGGCCTCGGCTTTGCAAATTTCCTCTCCAGTGTAAGACACAGACCGCTTCTGGAAATCATCCCTGATTTCATCAATACCCCGTATACTACCTTGCAGTCATCTTTCAACATCCTGGTCACGGACTGCTTGATCGCTTGCATCAGGTCCCGCTGCGCAGCCGTGGCCCTGGACCCCGACACACACACCTTACCTAAAGCGAGGTTGTTAGCGAACAGCACGACCAGCTCACACCAACATTGGACTGCTCGTTCCAAGGGGTCTGCAGAGGCCGACACAAAAGCCTGAACATCACAGGGGTTGAAAGAGGAAGCCAAATCGGGGAAAGAAAACAACGGCAACGGAAAAACTTGTCGCTTAGAGTGTAGCACTCGTGATAGCTGGCACACAAATGAACTCCCTTTTTTCAGTGAGGCTATTGCTCGGAAACTGTGCATCAGGCGGCTCTCATCGGCCTCCTGGTCGACGAAGAATTGAAAATACAGCCCAACTCCCAGCTCGGCCATGCAGCCAGCCGAAGTCAGCCACTGTGCTATAGTCGACGTCTTTGAGGGAGCCATCTTCACTCCTCCTTTTCCGTGTTTCTCCTCTTGGGGTTTTCTCTCCTCTGGCCCTCTGGCCTCTCCCAGGCCGAGATCCTCCGCGGCCTCCAGGCGCCTCTGCCTTTCCACTGGTTTCACGCGTCTCCTTTTGAGTCCTTTCCTCCTTTCCCTTTCTTTTGTCTTCCTTGCCACGGCACGGATTGCCACCAGCCATGACCTCCTTTTCCTTCCTGTGACTTTCTTCTTGGGACGGGGTCCTCCGCGGCGTCCTTGCCCATTTTCCTTCAAAACCTCCTTAGTGCTTTCTTGGCAGCGTGTTTCTCTTTCTTCATCAGGTTTCTCTGTCGCTGAGGTTCCGCTACTGCCACCGAAGAGGCCAGAGTGGTTATAAACCCCTTTTTCAGTGGAGTCCTCCTCAAGCTCCTCATAATATCTTCTTTTTGTCCTCTTGACTCCGCATCGACCCCCGCTCGGCGAGCGCCAGCCAGGGTCCTCATAGTCCCAATCTTCGCACCAGTCCTCAACTGGTCCTGAGCAGGGTCGGCATCGAAAACCTCCCCTGGTTCCGGTGGGTCGCCACCTATCTCGGCCCGTCGACCAGGCCCCAAACACTGCCTTACCAGCCGGCCCCGTAGGGACCCAGGCTCGGCGTGGCCATTCATCACAACTGGCAGCCTTACCACCGCCAAGCGAGCGGAGGCAGGGGCACTTAAGCACCCTACGCTCACACGCTCTCGCTTCCGCTTGGTCGATCCTGTGGCCACGACCTCCTCGGCACAAAGTCTTTCCACAGGCTTTGCATCGTCCTCCTCCATCTCCTCGGTAGGGGGACTTGCATCCCGTGTTGCTCCTCCTGAGCCCTGGAGTTGCTTCAACATCTCGCGTCCAAATTCTGAAGGCAGTGAGCCGGAAATTCGGGTCCATCCCAAACTTCCCGCTGACGCACCCGGAAAACACCGCCTTCCACCACGCACGGCCCCTCGTTCAGACAAATGCGACGAGCACCAGCGCGGCGATAGAACCAACCTGAGAGTGCATGCAAAGCACAGTCTCGACCGGCGCCAATTATTCTCACTTGTACCAAAAAGCTCCCATCGTATGCAAGGGTTTGACCCAGCACAACGAGAAAGCCTTTGCCATCCTTTCTTCCAACCTCCCAGCCTGGCACGCTGGTCAAAATGACACGGCCTGGCAGAGGAGACCACAAGTGCCGTCTTTCGAAGTCCCTGACATCGTAGGTGCCAAAAACTCCGCCCTCTGTAAGCCGCTCCGGCTCTTCCCCTTCCGCCGTCATTGATGCTTGGCACGGGGTGGCGAGCCAGGAATAGCTTCTTCTGCTGGGGCATTTGGATCAAAGTCCAAATACGAGCTATCCAACCTGCGATGAACCTTGGCAAAAGGGTTGGCGTCTGCCCGGTACAACCTCGGGTGCTTCCGTCCTGCCCTGTGTGTAGGGTCTCGCTTCCTTTTCTTTTTCTCCTTCCGCTGACCTTCGCGGCCTCGTCGATGTCGACGTTGATGACGTTCTTGAGGTCTGGGTCCCTTCGAAGATGTTGCTCTCTCACCAACTTCAGGCACGGTCTCTGGACCAGCCTCGTTTCCTGCACTTTCCTTCTTCTCCTCAATCTCGATCTCCTCGCTCTTCACGGCTGACTTGGGGGCTGGTGCAGCTTTGGCTGACAGTCCTTCGGCTGATATGATCTTGGCCTTGTCTTGGATGATGGTCGCCTCAGACACAGCCTCAGAATCTTCCTCCTCTGAAAGGTAGGAGCTCTCCTCCTCACGCCTCTGCTTCTCCTCCAAGTGCTCGTCAGCCTCAACACGCGATCGAGGTAAAGTGGGAGCCCTAGGTTCCCTGGGCTCGGGTTGTGTTCCAGCCCGGGGTCCCCTCTCAGGAGTTCTCGGCCTCTCGGACCCTCTGGCAGCCTGAGAGCCAGGCACGACAGCTCGGGTCACTCGGAGAGCACGAATCTGCCTGACCGCGCTGACCACGATATCGTGGGCCACCACACGGAGACCTGGATGGGACCACGCGAATCCCAACTCCGCACCTAGGGCTTCCCACCCACTGCACCCCAAGCACCAAGTGTCACCGGCGCTGGGCAGGCACCGACGACACTTGGCACACACGGCCATCAGCCGCACGAGAGGAGCTTATTTGAGCCCGTGGCCGTCGGAGTTCTTCGTGCAAGTCATCTCACCTACGGTAGATTTCATTCCACTGTCCATTTTGGATTGTTTCCTCGGCCAAATAAGAGATTGGGCCGGAGAATGCCTCAATGGCTGTTGGTTGATGTGTTCGGATTGCAAGCACGTGGTGTCGATGGTGCATGCTTGCGACTGGCACCAATTCAATGCACCTCACAGGCTTCAACATTTCTAGGATGAAATAGAGAGCAATTGAGAGAAACACCAAATGCATGAAAGGTTAACCGTTTTCATGAGGGAAGCATCACAAGTTGATACTCTACGATGAGAAGAGAGCAGAAACTTCCGTTTCTTTCGAGTTAACTGGTCGTTCGGTAGGTGCGCCTGTCACAAGCTGAACTTAGAGACACTGGGTCATGGGAGCTTGCAGGATGATGGACTTTTGCATTGCAGGTTGATGTTTTGCTGCTACAGTGCACACACAATGCACCACAAACGCCTTGCTAGCGGTGCCAGTCTGTGAGCTTGACACGGAGAATCAATGGTTCGGCATGCTGAGGTCACTGAGTCTGTTGCTCTGTGTACATTTAGGATATCAAAGATTACTGTCGAAGAGCGGCGCCCTTCGATTGTGCTTCTGTTCTTGAGAAGCAACCTGTCTGCAGCAGATTGGTCAACACATTTAGCCCAACGGTGCCTCACTGTTGGTTAATGTGCTCGGATTGTAAGCACGATAGTGCATGCTTGCTACTGGCACCAATTCAATGCACCTCACAGGCTTCAACATTTCTAGGATGAAATAGAGAGCAACGCCCAAATTTACATGAAAGGTTAAACATGTTCATGAGGGAAGCATCGCAAGTTGATGCTCTACGATGCGCAGAAACTTCCGTTTCTTTCAAGCTAACTGGTCGTTCGGCTACTGAACTTAGAGACACTGGGTCATGGTAGCTTGCAGGATGATGGACATCTGCATTTTGCAGGTTGATGTTCTGCTGCTACAGTGCACAAACACTTGATGTGCTCGGATTGTTCTGCAGTGCAGAATGAAGTTTGCTGTGCAAATCTTCGAGTCAGGAAGACTCCATCTGGACGAAGGCAAAAACAAACTCAACTAATTAGTGAAATAGGTAAGCACGCAGAATGAAGTTTGCTGGAACTTGAAGACCTTCGCTTCTTCTTTGTTACAAGTCACAGCTATCCACCTGAGCTCATGCAATCGGAGAAGGTTTTGCAGCAATGCATAATCTCAACCACTTGCTGTAAACTTGGGATTTTGACCTGTGTCGGATAGATTCTACTTCGGACTGCAAAACATCCAGTCATGAGGACTCCAAAATCTGGACGGAGGCAAAAGCAAACTCTGAAGCTACTGAATAAATAGCTCCTCATCATCAGAATTAAATTTGCTGGAACTCAACTTGAAGACCTTCGCTACTTCGTTGTTACAAGTCGCAGCTATCGAGCTGAGCCTGAGCTCATGCAATAGGGGAAGGTTTTACAGCAAGGCATAAATCTCAACAACTTGCTGTAAACTTGAGACTTTGACCTGTGTTGGATGGATTCTACTTCGGACTGCAAAACATCGAGTCATGAGGACTCCAAAATCTGGACGGAGGCAAAAGCAAACTCTGAAGCTACTTAAAGATCTCCTCATCAGAATTAAGTTTGCTGGAACTCAACTTGAAGACCTTCGCTACTTCGTTGTTACAAGTCGCAGCTATCGACTTGAGCTCTTTTCAAGCTTCCCAAAGCACAAACAGATGCTGCTGCTAGGTTCTAGCCTGCGATACTCTAAGGACTGCAATTTGGCCCTACTCTTGATTCTTGAGGCAATCTAGCAACCAAACTTAAGAGGAACTGTCCGGCCTAAAGAGCTGCAGCACTTCTGAAGCTCTTGACATTCCAGCCGTCCGAGGCAATATGGGGCAGTTCCATGCATGCAAATGCTAATACTGAGCTGGAGGTGTACAAAGCCTCTGGCTGCGAGGCTGCACACACACATGTCTGCAGCAAATTGGTCAACAAATCTTGCTCAACGGTGCCTCAGTGGCACGTCGGAATGGTCCTATGCTTTTTACTGGCACCAATGCACCTCACAGGCTTCAACATTTCTTGGATGAAATAGAGAGCAACACCCAAATTTACATGAAAATTTAAATGTTAAGCGTTTTCATGAGGGAAGCATCGCAAGTTGATACTTTATGATGCGCAGAAACTCCCGATTCTTTCAAGTTGATCGTTCGGCAGGTGAGCCGTGCTTTTTTGCGTGGTCTGGGCTGTTGTTTTCGCCAATTTGCCCACGTGAATTTGCCTACGCGAGGGTGCTGAGCGATGTTGTATGTAAGAGGTGCTTTCGCGAAAGGCTTTGCAAGGAGTTTTGTTTAGCTGTTAGCTTCATTCTACAAAGGACATGCATGAAAAACACCGGCCTTCGCAAAATGGCCTTCACATGCCTTCGCAACGAAACACTGTAGACTCTACGCGAAATGGCTATGCAAGCCTTCGGGCGTCATGAAACACGTGAGGACATGCTTTCACAGCCATGACAAGAGTTCCATGTAGTTAGCGCTGGGTTCCGGGAAAAAAACGCAGGTGCGCCTGTTACACGCTGAACTTAGAGACACTGGGTCATGGGAGCTTGCAGGATGATTGACATCTGCATCTTGCAGGTGGATGTTTTGCTGCTACAGTGCACACACAATGCACCACAAACGCCTTGCTAGCGGTGCCAGTCTGTGAGCTTGACACGGAGAATCAATGGTTCGGCATGCTGAGGTCACTGAGTCTGTTGCTCTGTGTACATTTAGGATATCAAAGATTACTGTCGAAGAGCGGCGCCCTTCGATTGTGCTTCTGTTCTTGAGAAGCAACCTGTCGAAGAACCTGCCCTGTACGGTACGCACGGACTGGGCAGCTGCTGCAAAACACATGGACAGTGTTTCCTATTCTTCCAATGTTCCCACTCGGAGTGCATTATCACAGGTCACCACATTTCTCCAAGCGAATCTGGGCAGACCAAACTCTGAGGCTAGTTCGATAGCTCCCAATCATAATGAAGTTCGCTGGAGCTCAATCTAAAGACCTTCAATCCCCTAGAAGTCCAAAGAAGTAAGGGAAGTTCCCTTTCAGGTCCCCTAAAGACCATTCTTTTTGTAGTCTTTGACTACCAGGGAATCCTTCTTTTCCAAGTATATGATTAGAACCGTTTTCAAGCACTGCGCAACGCGACTGCCCCAAGTGTTGCCGCACCTTTCTGGACATCCTGATGGTATAACATGGCGTAACAGCGGCTGTCAAGTGGTGAATGTCAGCTGCCTAGTGTTGGATATCCGGCTTGAACATCTTGAACTGACTAATTATGAGCTTTGGATGCAACCAAACAATGTTGTTTTAGAGGAAGAGATGCCTTTACTGAAGGCCTGCAGCACTGCTGAAGCTCCTGAGCCTCCCCGACAACAAAGCCCCTGGCTAAGCCATCTGGGGTGGCATGGCAGCTCAGCAGGTGCCCTCCATCACCTGCCAAAGCTTCGCATCAATTCTGCAGAAAGGACTCGAGACCGCAACAGCTTTGGCACACCTGTGCGAAAATTTATTCTGTTCCGAAACGAACTCCAATGTTTCCTCACAAGTTGTCCACAGGGCATTTCAAATGAGACTCGGCCTACAAGTGTTCAAACTCTCCTGGTGCCAGGTGAAATCCAACAAAAGCTCATCATCGTGACAATGACGCTCATCATCATCGTCAGGAAACCTCTCTAAGGTTTCGACCTGGTGGTTCTTGTCGGAACTCTGAAAAAACACAAGACTCTTCCAACAGAGGTTGAATGACCCGAACATTCGACTATCCCATACCCCAAGTGACGGGTCCGAACTGGTCCCGGGAGACCTGGCTACCTCTCTTGCTGCCATGGTTTCGGGTGCCATCGATCCACACCGACGTGCGCCGCTTCGTTCCGAGAGCTGCGGATGTTCCGCGGCGAAGGTGGAAGTCGCCGTCGCAAAGCATGGATCTATAGAGACTTGGGGTTTAGCTGAACAGAATTGCATACCCAGAGATGGTTAAAGGAAAAAGGCCCAAAGACAGCTCGCGCACTTCACAAAATGTGGGGCGAACATGGCAGGCCAACCAGGTCTCATTCGGCCTGGGCTGGCGCCCTTCAGGTTCCTACAGACTTTCTGGCGCTTATCATGAAACGAGGACCTAGCAAGAGTCGAACGTCTGACGTTTTACTCAAAAAGATCCGACAAATCTTCCAAAAAGGCCTCCGGAAAATAGCAGCAAACCTCACGTTAACATTAACCCACATCTGATCCCAAAATGCAAAGAATGCACAGTCGTCTTCACTTGTGGTGACGGGCACTTCCAAGTTCCGAAAGAAGCCAGGGCCGGAAACCATCAACAGGGGCCTGCCATTCTCAGATGTGGTGAGATGTGTGACACTTCCTATTTTGAAGACCGGCAAAAACTGAGCAAAGCCGGACAGGGGATCATCTGCGCGCACAGCCAGGATCCTCCGCATACAGAAGCCGCGTGTGCAGACAATCCCCGTCACCGCGTGTGCAGACGATCCGATTTTGCGCGTGTACAGACGAAGCCCTGTCCAGCAAAGCCCCCAAAAGTCGGGTCCGACTGATGCAAAGCCACTCTATTGGAGGCCCGCCTGTGGGATCAGATGTCTCATCCACCCACGTGGCTCTGAGAGGCCGGCAACTCGGAACAAGCTTCGCAAGCTTGAGATTCGCAGATCCAACAAAGGGCGTCGTGAGGGCTTTTGTCGTCGGTTTGGAGAAAGGCAAAGAGACAAGGCTAAAGAGCCGCTTCAAGACTTACTTACATTCAAAACAGCAACAAATTCACAGTTGGAAGCAAGCAGCTGATCATTCGCAAGCGCTCTCGGTAAAGCTGCATACGCTGCATTAGCTGGTTTGTTGCGTTTTCTTGCGTCATGAGACTGGGCTCGCGCTGGCTCTTAGGGATCAAACAATCAAGCCTGCGGCGTGTGGGCCACAGGAATCAAGCCTGCCCGCGGAATCTTCAAGCCTGCCAAGCGCTATCAAATGGGGTCTCTGTTATGTCTGCAACAAACTGATCAGATTCGACGTTCTTCCCAATTCTTTACGAACTGATTACTAATTTGACAGCTATAATAGTTCAAATGAAATTAACTTTCAAGTGGGTGAAAAGCGGATCATGTTTCGCTCACACGCCAATTGCGACGGGTCTTGAACTCGCACTTCGATGGATGGACGACCGAATGCCAGTTCGCCGCACTGGGTGAGTTGGAGCTAGACATGTGCGATGAACACGGGAGAGAAGGGTTCAGGCGGTGGAAATCAAACAAACATCTCGATGGAAATCAACCTCCGAGTTGGGTTCAGGAGCTGGGGCCTCAACTCTGCGCATGCGTGACACGATCTCTGTGCAATGGTGCCTATGACATGAAGAGTGCACCTCTCCTATCTTCGAAGTCCAACAGGGACTTCGAGAATGACTTGCCAAGTTGGGCAGTCTCCCAAGCACAGGAGCGAACTAGTCTGCGCTCGCTCCTTACTTTTGAGACCTCAAGGCACAGTTTGCACACAGACACGCCATGGTGAACGAGTGATATACATATATTTATTAATTGATACTTGAAGTCCTGGCAATTGAGACTCTCACGCAAAAACAACATGCATCTCTGGCATCCGCGATGCACCAAGTTCAACATCGAAAGACTTGTAGTGGTCATGCCCCAAGAGGCTGCACCACCCCTGTTCTTCACAACTGGCGAGTGGTATCTGAGTGGTGATACGAGACCATGGCATGGGCAAAGTCAACAAACATTTGGTGGATCCATAAGCATGGCCTGAGCCATGCTCAAGGATGTGACAAGTAGTCCCGCTTCACGCCATCATCTTCAATGACACGGGTGGCAGCTACTCGGTAGCAGTATGCGCTTAGCCATGACCAGCAGCACGCAAAAGCACTTCGGCCACACAAATACTGAGGAATCCAGGGCATCCAAGACTGTTGTCAATGAGTGTTCTCCGCACTGGTACATGCCTCTGAAACTGAGGGGCGTCAGCTAGAGGAAGGATATGTGACTCTGGGACTTGTCGGACTTGTCGGACGAAGGATCTGCTCCTTCTGCAAGTGTCGTGCACCGGACGTGGTGAAATATGTGACAAATGCCAACTGCAGCTCCTTCGAAACAATGGTCTCCGCAGCACCGAGCCTTGTCACCAAAGGAGCCTTGCCGCAATTTCTGCTGATTTCCAGGTCATCACCCAAACATTCAAGGAAAATTGCACATGATGAACAAAGAGATTCTCTCGCTATTGGCCTTCCTCGCTTTCACATTGACATTCTCTAGTCCAGGTTGAGAGCACCGAACCTACACAAGAGAGCTGCTGTGAACTAATCCGGAGAGTAATTACTACCCGATTCAAATCCGCACTTGCGTTTTCAAGGAACACAAAGCAAACTTGACCTTAGAAACTTTTCTGGAGGGCTGGAGCACCTTTGGAGCTCCTGAAATTGGCACTCAAGCTCCTTGCTGTTCCTCATCGATGACAGTGACACGGGCCAGATGTTGAAAATGACGTCTTGGAGCGGGACCTGAGAACCTAGTTTTTTGCTTATTGTGTCATGACAGATTGCTGTATAGATTCCTTCACAGCATCTGGTTGCCTCTTGGATCACATCAATGTGACGAACATCTGCGATGGTGTTTCAAGGAGCAGTGTCCACATGAAAAAGGCCTTAAATGCAGGCCGCGTCGAACGCTCAACCAGTCGTCAACCCCCAATAGGTCAACCAGTGCTCAACCCCCAATAGGTCGCATGTTCCGGGCGTCGACGAGCTCGGCGTCGGAACAATGCGGGTTTCGGAGAGGAGGAGAAAACATCTCCAGCGGCTCGGCCAGGAATCTTTGGATCAAACTCCCCCTCCAGAGCAGCCTGCAGCCGCATCCTGAGCAGGCGCTGCACCGAGCTGCGACCATGGTCGGCCTGTGCGTCGTCACGATTGGACCAGAAAAACCTGGCTAGTAAAGTGCAAGCCCAATAAGTGCAAGTAAAGTTGAACAGCACTCTGCAAAGTCAAGCTCAAACTCATTGTCTAGTTCCCACATATATCCTTCGCGCACTCAGAAACCATCAAAAGCTGAGTAGCTCAGAAACCGTAGCTCAGCCCATGAATGTTCCGAAGCCGCAGACGTATATGGGAATTCGTCAAGAAGCCAAGTAGGCGCATCGCAAGACCTGTTGCGATTGAAGGAAAAGCAAAGAGAAGCAATCTTTGTAAATCAAGCAAGATCTGTCCCTAAACCCTAAGCAAGGATACCCCTTCATTGGCGTCTCGGAGCATTTTGTTCTCACAGCTTACCTGCCGCCTAGGCGCCCTCAGAAGCGACCAAGGAGTCATCGTGTGGCAACGACCCTTTTTGCTCGGACAACATGGTCAGACAACAACCGGCTTTATGCATGATCTGCTGCAAACAACTGGCCGGTCTCATCCTTGCCACACTTGCTTCATGGATCCTCATGGTCAATTCAAATTCACCATGGTGTGCAATTTTTTTCTGCCCCATTTATGGGTTCTCAGTGAGATACGCCTCTCGGTAAAGGCAGAAAGCCTCAACAACCACTCTTGTGTAGAAGGGTGAAAGCCGCACTAAGGGAAATCACTCGCTGGTACCTTGTGTGCAGCATTCATAGGCTGTCAAACATCAAAGCGGCGTTCTTTTTTGACCCGTTGCCAGTTGCCCTGTTGCGCCTGCGCGCATTGTCCTGAGCTCTCCTATAACTACTGCATGCTTCAACTTCTTTGCTCCGGTTGCTTTTGGCAAGTCGGACCTTGCTTTGCCCAACAAAAGTTTAAAATCAAATAGTGAAGCTGGGACAAACCCATATGCATGAGAGCACCGGTCACCATTCCAGCAACATGCTGATTGCAGGATTGCAGCTTCTTCGTGCACTACGACTTCAAGGGAAAGGCTTGAGACGGCTTGAGCATGGTAAGGGCTTGGGCACATAAGCACTGTCAATCACCGGTCTACGGTATACTCATGACTTGCTTCCGCCAATGCTTGCGCGGCGCGGAACCGCGACCGGGGCTCTCGCGGGCCATCTTTGATTGAAATCCTCTCCTTAATAATGCATGTATTATATGATCAAGAAGATAAAAAACGCACTTCCGCAAAGCTTCCGCGGTGGTGATTTTTACCATATTACAAAAACACGCGGTGGCTTCCGCGGTCGCTTCCGCAGTTTTGGCTTCCGCGGGCAAGTTGGAGTTTACAAGTTTGCTTAAACCGTTCGTGAGAGGTTTTTGACGCTCACATGGTCTTTGGTGAAACCGGTCTTGAGAGGTTGGTGAACCCGGTCCTGCGACCGGCTTCGGCTTTCGGATGACTTTCTTGGGACAAAAGCTGAGCATCGGCGTTTGAAGTCTGCAAGCTCCGAGCCAGCACAGCGCTCACAACTCTGGGAGCAAGCCATCTTTCGTGCAAAGAACCCACGCTTCGCATCATTTTATCGGCTGTCCGAAGGCTTTAGAATACACAATGATCGGTATGTAGTGGTATGCATATTTGAACATTGCTCAAAACCTATCGAGAATTGGTTCTATTGGGCTCTCCTTTCGCAACTTTCTTTCGCAACACTTTGGCGGCTTGCATTTTGGCTTCCTGACATCGAAATCTTGGATTGCAAGGCCACACACGTTCCTGCAATGGATCAAGTTGCTTCAATCAACAGGATTTGTCCCACTTGTCTTCACAACTGCTTCTTGCTCTTCTCCTCGAGTGGCCTTTGAGCCCAGCTTCCTTGCCAGAATCCCTGAAGTCAGAAGCTGAAAGGAAAGCGTAAAAGCCTGGAAAAAGTTCACCAACATGGCCGTCAGCGTGGCACAAAAGCCTTGGTCCAAATTGCTGTTGAAAGTTAGCTCACTTCTCTAAACAACAACAGCTCGGTGTGTGACTTTCTAGAAATTAATTATATGTCAATAACATTCCACAACTGAACATAACAGTCTTGACTTCGCCCGCCGAAAAACCGATTCCTAATCGGCCGGAGACTTGAACCAAAGAGTTCGGTGACCCAGGCATGAACAAAAATCACCGCAATTTGCAATGAATACAGTGGGCCATCAGAGTAGATGGCGCAATCCAAGTCTGGTGGTTTAGATGGACCCCTTTTTTGGAGGACATCTTGGGGGTTGTGCCATCTACTCTGATGGCCCACTGTAATGTTCAGCTCATTTCTTATAGCGTCGTGAGTCCCGAAAAGCAGGTGAAAGATGGTCAAGCGCCTGACGTCGCAGCTATGAACCACAGACGTCGCACCGTGTGTCGCTCCGTGTGTCGCTCCGTTGGTCGGTCCCGGAGATCGATGGAGCCCCACAGTCCCGTCAAGATCTGCGTTGGCGGAAGCGATCCTTCTTGGGGGACCTTCGCAACGTCGACTGTTCTGGCGAACTCTCCGTTCCGTAGCGTCTGCGCCACGAATATAAGGTGTCACGGCAGAACCCCCGAGAAGCCTCCGCTTCATCGGCATGGTGTCATGCCAAAGAACCTTACAAACAA